GTAGCCGACCCCAGGCCAGGTACCACCGGAGGAAGCCAGATGATCTGAAGGTCCTTTCCAACCCTAACCATTCTGTGAGTCTATAAAAGAGTGAGTGCTAAAGCTCAGAGCTCTAAACTGAAGCATCTGAAGCATCTCCTGGGACATGTCTAGGAAACTGTCAGTAGGAAATAAAAATAGCTTTGAAAATAGATACAGCACAGACCAGGAAAAACACCCAAGACTTCAGAAGGTTTACTTACTCCACAACAGGTAGGAGTCCATGACCAGGTAGATAAACATGCTGGGGACAGTGACAAGTATTTTCCTTTTCCAAAATCCACGTGCCTTTTGAAGGGACTTGAAGGCCTGTTAGAACCTCCCTACAGCAGCTGGTTTAGTACGAGCAGCAGAGAATGAAGGTAGCTGCCACTTGGTCTCAGGCATTCGAGTCCAGTAATGCCAGAAAAAGGAAAGGCAGGAGGAGTCATCCTCTTTCCTTCCTTCTTCAACACAGCACTGAATTAAAATGAGAACATGCTGTGACAAGATGATGGGCTGCCAGAAGTCCAAAGGGTTCAGAAGTTATTAGATAAATCTAAGACAGTCCTACAAAAGGTTATTAAACCCATCACACGGATGCAGCCTCCAGCTCTGAAGTCCCTTAATTACAGACTGCTAGAAGCAATAAGAGTGTATGGGGGAGAGCACCATTCTACACTTGACTCGCTTGGTTACCCCTAAGCACGTTACTGGTGACCATTAGAGAGCAGAAGAGGTGTGGAAAATCTCCAGCTTGAGCCACTATCGTGTTGTTACAGCCCCAGACAACTGGCACGGAGGCAGTGTTCATATGCTGCTTGACATTTAGAGGACTTGAAGTAGCTTGTGAGAGCTACTAGCTGTGCCAGAGATAGCAGAGGATGCCACGAGACGTGCAGCAGGAGCATATGCTTTTGAGTAATATGTTCAGATTAAGAATGAGACTTCTGTTACAAGAAAAAACAGTAACTCCCAAGCTGAGATGCTGTTTTGAGAGCATCTTGGATGAGCCTGCTTGCAGATAGATCATTTAAAAAACAGATGCTGTTCTCGGATTTGTTATTCAGTGCCATATCTTCCCTCTAGAACACTCTCAGTTGCCCTTCTTATTTGCCAAGCACCCATTAACTCTGACTGTGTACTGGTTTTTGCAAGTTAATCACATTAGGCCCATGAAACGTAGCAGAAACTCTCAGAAGCTGGAATTCAGCAGAGCTACGTGCAAAACAGTCTGGATATGCCAGTAGCTGTAGTGTTGTATTTCATTTTTGGCAACGGGCTGTAACCATATAGAAGTTTTTCTATGAGAGCTTCTAGTTATTATAAGATGAAGAATTATTTCAAAAACAAATGTACACAACCTGCATTTCTTGCATATTTCTGTTTGTTCCAATATTGCTTACAAACCGACTCAAAAGCTTCTGAACAGACTCAAGCCAATGAGCCAAAAATAGAGCACATTAAGGAGCAAGTTCACACCTCATAGTTCTAACACTGTGTCCTGTAGCAGCCACACTCCAAGACTTCCAGAGGACTGTGTTGTTTGTCACTGATTTCCATGGAAGCAGCAGCCAGGCTGCGGTGAGCATGCAGAGCAACACAACATTCTAGAGCTACCCAGTTTCCAAATCCGAAGTCAGGTGTCCTCACTTTTTAAAGAGTGGACACACTGAATGCATTCAACTCCTCGTATTGTACCCTACCCCAACTGAAAAGGCAGACATTTCAGAGAAGCTGAAGTCCAGCAGTCCAGACTGGCTTAAAAAACCAACACAAAACCACCCCAAAACGACACACTGCAGTACTTACAATTGTTAACTGCTACCAGAGCTTACATTATTACAACTTAGGACTTTAAGAGTCTCTAAAAGAAATCTATGAAAGGAAGGAGATCTGGATTTCAGGATGAAAATCCTGGTTTGACAATCCATCCTTAACTCACCGCGTCGATATTGTAGGGGTCTCCAAACAGCAAACTGTGTGCGCTCCATCTCGTCTGAAAAATCTAGGCACAATGGGGGTTGAGTTAAGGAAAGAATGTCAGACCTCGTGTGTAGCCTTAAAGAGAATCTACTTAAGATTCAAAAATTTACCTTTTTTTGCAGCATACTATAGTCTTACTGAACATTCCTGGAGGATAAGTTGTGCTCAGATTGTTAGTTCCTTTCCATTACTATTTGGCTATCTGAAGAGAGTTTCAAGCTCTAAGTTACCTTCCCCTTTGCTCCATCCTCCAAGAATGCTACAAAAGGTAAATTTTGAGGCCCAAATAGAATAGTTGCATGACCAGTTTCTCCCCCTCCCCACCACCAGTACTTTATGTATCTACAATGCCCTCAGATTTACAAGAAGAGAACAATCCACAAGTTTTACTTTGGAATGGATTTTGACATTCCTCAGAAGCCATCTTGCCTTTAGCCGTAAGCAGGACGTAAGCACCAGTAGTTTGGTCAATAATACATCAGTATCTCAACCCTGCATCACTGCTAGGGTAAGTCAAAGTATTTCCTCTCCCTCAGCCTCCAAATAGGGAAGAAAAATAAGGAGACTTTGTGGAAAGAAGCACAGGTCTAATTTAGAAGGATGCATTGGATGCTGGTAATGGCTAGAGACTAGGAGCAAGATCAGTGCAACAAGCATATGAGACCCTGTCATAAATAACTTTCCCAACACCAGACTGCTGTTCTAATGACAATAGTTTTCCTTCTTCCCCTTTACAACTCTGAAAAGCCACCATCAAGGAATTAGTTTTTCCAATCAACATGAAACAGAAGTTTCAGAGAATTAACTTACTGTCTGGTTTGCTGTGCTGGAAGCAAACACCCATACTCAGGATAGTGATGACAGCAAAAAGCAAAGCCATTCCCTTTCCCCAACTGGTTGCAACCAGAGAGTAAAGACAGTCCTGGCAACATGCTTTTAAGCTTTATAGTTACACAGAGGCTTAAGTCCAAGTCATTTTCACTGTGTGGGTCTCCCCTGGATGCTATATTATTAAGTGTGGTTGAGGAGATGAAGCCAGCTTTGATTCCAAGCACAGGTTAACATTTACTTAGCCAGAGAGAACAACTCATCTTGCTGCAATCAATCTGAACTACCAAGATGACTAAAGCTGGCAGTATGGGGAACCCAGTCCTGAAGTTACTATCAGGATGCTCTCTGTAATGCAAACTGTAGACATTTACAACTGAGTCACCACTAATGTGTCAAAGTTACACATGAAATTAATCCTACTCCCGCTGACTAAAATGCAGACAGCTCAGGTGCAGCAACCTCTTAAGCAGCCAAATTAGTAACAGTCATAATTTAGATCTGTTTTAATTATATTTTAATGGCATTCATTAGCAACTGCCTGAACAGGCATTTGTTTTCTTTTTTCAGCCTCAAACGAGGCTCTGTCAGCACAGGCTCATGCTGACAGAGCACCCCAAACTGGTGGTGGTAAAGCACCTCAGCACCCACAGTGACAGACCACAGGGGAGCACGCACACAGCATTACAGCCAGATCCGTTACTCCTCATTCCAGAACCAAGAGCCAATTTCCAGCCTTGCCCAGGCTGTCACTAATCCCAACGTGACATCTGCACTGAGGATCTAGAGCACAATCACGGATCTGTACCCACTATCAGATCAACCATACACATTTCAGAGCATAAAGTTGCCCATAAATGAGACTGGAAATCTGAGGCTGCTGCCAAATGCTCTTCATAGGAACTGATGTCATTTCAGCAGCTTCCTTATGAAGACTAGAATCATAAATGAAGTCAGGAGTTTAGAACATCACAATAGTAATGATGATGATGATCAAGTGAAGCACTACCCAAACAGAAGAGTTTCATGGCACATGAGTACAGTAGAGCTGTACTGACTGTATGAGACTCTACACATCACACCATAGAAGCCTATTCTGAAAAACAAAAAGGATGGAATGAGAGAAATCTGACAGTTACATCCTGAGATTCCTTTATCTAAGAGATGTCTGAGCTTGCTTCTGGTCTCTTAAGATTCCAAACCATTTTTAATAGCACATGGGTTTAGTTTTGTCAAAAACAGCAAAACAAAGACTTCTGAAATGCAGTTTAACAACCATACAGTAAGAAGGCAAGGCATTAAGGATTTCATTCCAAACTGCTCGCACAGCTTGGAAGAACTGTAATGTTCTATATAGAAAGTGAGTTCACCAAGATACACGAGTCTTATGAGGACTCACCACTTTGAGTGCCAGTTCACTAAAGTAAGAGGAACAGAGCGCAAAAAAGCAGTGTTAGTGTCTACTCAGTCCCTTCATTCAGCATTGAACACTGCACAACCTAAGGAGACAGTTCTCATGAAATAATTCAACAAAGGCCTTTTGATATCACAAAAGTGAAACATGACTTTTGTGTGGGTTGTGTCTGAAGCAGTGTCGTCGAGCCTGCAGAACCATTCTAAGAAACATACTATTTAAAGAGCAATAGTAAAACTGGCAGGTAAAAGTTTGGGAGGGTTTTGGCTTTGGGGGTTTTTATAAAAGAAAAGCTTCTTACACTTCAACATTTTTCTGCTGCAGCCCAGAAGTCTTCTTCCCTGGAGCAGCACCTCTCATCTTCCCCTCTGCATATTGTTCCCTTTAAAAAGAATTAATTCATAAATAAAACTTTAATGGGAAAAGAAGCTTTTTTCCCCTCTCCTCAAAGGAAATCAGGTCATGCAAAACATTTAGAGAATGTGTAGTAAATAGTTTTGTGAAACAGTGTGTCATGAGCAGGAACAAATTCAGTTCATTATCAGAAAGATTTAGGCTTCTTCATACAATACTTGGCAGTGTGAACAGCCATTTCCTCCCACTCCCACCACCCTCATTCTGAATCATGTGGAAGCAGCACACTGCTGCTGAAAAACATAAACCAAGCTCCCAGGAAAAGCATTTCTGTTAAAGAAACACAAGATTAGCATTCATAAAAATCAAAGTATTTAGAGGTGTCCTGAAGCTGATCGGAACACGTCTGTAAGCCAGAGCACCTCAACAGCGAATGAACACAGGAACACCTCTTGAAGGCTTGTTATTTTTAAACTCACTAACTTCCCTTGATATACAGTTGTTGGAGTGAAGCTCTATAAAAAACCCCCTATTTACTGACAAGGACTTCTAAAAACATACTCACTGATTGGCCTTTTGAAGTTCTTTTTGTTTCTGCAGATTGGTATCCACGTATTTGAGCACTCTGCTTTCTGGAACCCATTCATCCCAGCTGAAATAAGAATCACAAAATCAAACCATCATTCAAAACCATGACACAATTGCATTCTACACGCAACAGTCAAGTAAAAGCTTCACAGAATTTGAGGCTGAACTCTGCTTTTGTGTCAGGTCATGGACTGGCACAACTGGAAGTTACCAAATGTATTCCCCACTGACTGAAGCTGTAACATTTTCTAGGGAAGCGTGACCCTCAGTCACTTCCAAAGTTTCCCAAACTTGAAGGATGGGCAATTTAGGAGGTAGGGGAATGTCCTTCATTTAAAAGCAGCATCTCAGGAAAGAAAAAAAATAATCTACACTCACTAAATGATGGGACACCTGTAGCCATAACTATATTACGAAGCAAGTTGCCTTTATCTACTCCAACATTTTATAGGTTAACAAATTCAGCAATAAGATCTTACTGTAAGAAGAAGAGCTCTGATTTCTGTCTGTGAAGGAAACCAAGATGGCATGAATATTTGAAGAATCTGAAGTGAATGATTTAAAAGAACACATGTTGGGGAAATTGCCATTAGAAGCAAGAATTCCACTTGACAAAGAGTGGATCATCTCAGCAATCTGACAATTTATTTCAAATAGAACACATTAAAAGTGGCCAAGTTCTTTAACATATGCAAGTTAAAGCTCTGTATGTAGAGTTCTGTGTCATTTTCATTTCATGGCAATAACTCTCAGTCTTGGAACATCCAGGTGGTAAACCCAATACTACTACAGGAGTACAACGTCTTCAGGAGCATTAAGGCAAGACAAGCTTAGCAGAGAACCCCCCATCCAGCTGTACCCCCCTAGGACTGAGTATTTAGGACAGTGCTTTAGTTAGATATTTAAGCCACTTATCTTACTCCTGCCTGCACAGCTGCAAAGGACCTCCACAAGAAGTGCTATATAACTGTGGCACATTATACTGTACGATGGAGAAACTCTTTGGGATCCTAACTGTTGATATTGCAAAAAAAAATATTAAGTCAAGCAATTAAGTAACAAAGGACCATAATTACAGAAACCAAAGTTAAGGATACACAGTGCCCCAGCTGTCTGATCTTTCAGCAATGCCACTTTTAATGCAGTTAATTGGAAGCTTGGGGGCAAATAAACTGCAACAGTGCAAGTAAGAAAAGCAGGAGTCACGGCATCACTTACAGCACCCTCCATCAGAGAGAAACAGGGGAGGAATGATCCCATTTATGCTGCCTCACTGACAGACAGCAGCCTCCAGAAGAACCAATTACACTCCCTGTAACCGTAGGTGTTTACAGTAAACATTTATCTGGTGGCAGGGTGTGCGGGTGCATTTAAACAAGTTACACACTAAAACATGAAGTTCAGCTCTTAGTCATGGCAGTGAGCTCGAGACACTAGTGACTGAGTCTTGACTGGAGCCTGCAGCACTGAAATGAAACAAACCCAAAGAGGGAAGTGCTCTCTGAAAGACTTGTAGGGTCTGAAGAGTTGAAGGTTTTAATTACTAAGAAAAACAACCCCACTTTTCCTAAATTCAAAACCTTGTGGCAGAACAGAATTCAAATGAAAGGAAAAAAAAAGCCACAAGTACATAAACGAAACAAACTCATGAAAGTGCTCACCTTTAGTGGCCACAACATTTATTTCATGGAGACACCTTTATTCAGCAATCTCTCACCTAGAATCCTACCATTTTGCAGAGGGGAAAAGTATCTTTAACTTTACCTTAGCATGAGAGGCAAGAACTGAAATACAGGCTAAACCTGCTCCTGTGAAGGGATAAACCAGACAGCCTTCCCCACTCTGAATACAGCCTTCTGTAAGGCTTGTTCCTCCAAACCCTTGCTGGCAGAAGTGGTGTAAGAGTAAAGTACACTGTGTATCTGAGTGGAGAGTTTTGCTCCACCTCAGTAGGGGTTGCCTCTCCTGCAACACATGACAAGGAAGTTTTTGTACCAGGTATTTCTGCCAGGGGGAATTAACAGTGACTATTTTCAGACTAGAACAAACAGACTGCTATAAAGCATTCCCATAGCTCTCCTGACACCCTGAGCTGGTTTGTCTCTACAAGCAAAGCTCTGAAGGAAATGCTTAGTTAGGCAACATTTTCTTGGTGTTACTATAAATCACTGGCTGATGAGTAAAATCATTTAGGTCTATTTCAGAAACAAAATCCTAACAGCAGGCACACAGCAGGGCTCATCCATCAAACTCGTGTTCAAACTGACAAAACTTCATTTTCCCATAAAGGGAATGAAATAGTGCTTTCATTTTATGCAATACTTACTTTTTATTCCAACCACTGTAATGGATAAAGTATTTCACTTGCTTGTCCTTTATGGCAACCTTTACACACTGGAACAGAGAAGAAAGTTCAGTCAGTACCAAAGAGAACAAAGAGATCTGAATGAATTTTGCTTTTTTAGCTTTCAGAGTTCAAGCATGCAGAGGTTTCCATGCAAGTGACCGAAATACCAGCAGCTATTTCACAGCCAAAAGTAAGTTCTCTAACACAAGTTACTGCCTGGGTACACATCTGGAAGGGCTGGGTGGGCACAAGAGCAATGGCTCAGCCATCCAAAGGGACACCTTCATTCACAAGAAGGATCAGAAACCCCTGAGGAAGACCAGAAGAGTAAACAAGTCACTTCACTACCCCCAGTTAGCCCAAAGCCATTCACTAGAGAGCTGGTTCACATGCAGGCCCTACCTCACAGGCAGGTAAGCTGGCTGAAGTAGAGGAGTCTTCGAAAGTAAAATAAATGATATGGACCTCTACAGCCACAGAGAGC